ACATCATTCTGCCCATTGGTTGGTGTAACAGACTCACTATCAATGTTGGCGTTAGCATTAGGGCTTGGTACACCCATTTCATTCTGTGCAACCTCAGTGCTAGCAATATTTTCGTTGTCAATATTTTGCAAATTGTTTTGTGAGGAATCTTCATTGACTGGGAGATCACTAACAAAAATATTTGTACCCTGATTGTTGTCCACTTCATAAGTGGTAAAAGAGGCGTCTGGTTGTGGAAATTGCTCCGATAAGTGTTGATCAATAGACGATTCKGTCGGACTGGGTAGCATTGCCACCTTGTCAGGTGGAATCTCCACACCAGTGTTTGGAATAGTTTCTTCGTTTTTTGCAGGTTTAGCATTTAGATCTTGAATGGCTTTCTTTGTATCTTTTTTAGCTTTAATTTTAGCKGGTTTGTCTAAGTGTGGAAGTTTTGGTTTTTGACTTAAAATCTTCTTGATAAATGCAGGCGAGGGAAATKTTTTGAGAACCTTTCTCTTTTTATGAGGGACATGATTCTCAGTAGGAGGTTGTGGCGTTGGTGTGATTGCAAACGCTATGTGCTTGACAGGTTTCTTTGATTTCGGGATCTTCTTTATTGCTGGAGATGGTGGTTTTGTAGGTGAAGCAGCACTAGCTTGTTTGGCTGGCACAGGAGCTGCTGTTGGTGGCTCTTGCCACTTTGTGAGTTTTGCATCTCCAATTGCATCACCTTCATCATCATCACTTTGTATCGCCRCTGTAGGTGTRGGTGTAGCTACACTGGGAGATGCAGTTGGATTATCGTGGGGGRTTTGARCTGCATTTAAAACAAAATAACACACATTGGATATCTCGTAAAAACTAAAATGTATCGCAAGRAAAGGCCTTTCATTTTATCTCCATYAAATATCCATATGAATTATATAYAGGACCCCTTCCATTTSATGTGTAAGAGCGCCATCTTCACTGACTCAAAACAAAGCGCTCTCTCGGCTTTTTCTTGGGTACCCATAGTCCCCAAGATGAAACTAAATTCTTATGAACAACAGTGGTGCAGTCCGAAGCATATAACGAAGCAAATTTACTGTATCAACATGAAATAAGATATTGTAAGGAAAGTGGATCATGAATGATATTCTCTATCAGATGTGCACGTATATACAGGTTGCAGAAAGAACATTATAGATTTTGTTTGACATTGATTACTGAGACAAAAGAGAGTTGAGCTTGAGCGATCTTTTGTCTTTTAATGACTTCCTTTATATCCTCAAAGTCATAGATTTAAAAAAAATGATGTTCTCAATTCGAAGAAGTTCCCTTCTGTGTTTTCCTTCCCGGGCCGTAACTCTTTAGGAACTAGAGAACGGGGAACTAGGAACGGCTGGCTTAACAGCCTAAATTGGAAGTGCTTACATATTTACTGGTGTATGGTTCCGTGAATGATAGTTCAATATTAACAACAATTGCAATGTTTGATGATATCTGACCTTTTAAACGTTGCTTTACGACTGGGCTAGAAGGACGTTTAGGTTTATCTTTGTTCAGTTTTGTACCAAGTTTAAGAAAACCTTTTCCAAGACTTACAAGAAGCTGAGGGAGAGAATCGCGTCTGGTCTGTTTTAGAATGTACTTCTCTGCCTTGTCGTCTTTCTCCTTTTGCTGCTTCAGTTTTAAGACCATCTTGTGATGAAAGGATTGATGATGGTGGTGGTGTTTGTGATGGTAGTGCTTGTGATGATGATGATGATGAGGTTGGTGCTTGATGYGGTGATGGATCTTATGATGAAGATGATGAGGTTGGTGCTTGCTCTGATGATGGTGATGATGGATCTTGTGATGATGATGATGGTGCTTGTGGTGATGGTGGAGATGATGGTGCTTGTGATGTTTGTACTTTTTGTGATGATGAGGTCTGTGGTGATGATGATGATGATGATGATGGTGATGACTATTAACAATCCTTTTACTGTGTTTTTCTACAAGTTTTCTGACGCCATTCTTTTTGGTGCTCGAGTTCCCTGTCATGCACAAGGAGTAACTGGTTAGGCAAACAATAGTTGCACTTGCACTACCCTTCTTGCAATTACTACTTGTATGTTTTCACAAATGACAGAAGAGGACATTCAAGTCTCTAGAGCTAAGCCCTGATTGTCCTGATCGAATCATGGTGTGGGTTCTCTTACATCCCTCCTTGCTAAGGTGAAGTGTTGAGACGAGACCTAAGGCTTTACGATCTTTCCGAGAAAACGATGCACTGATATGGCAAGTGAATTGTCTAGAGACAAAACGCGATAGTTCGGTCTAGGAATTGAACCCGAGCCCAGGTTTTAACCACAATATCTCATATTAGGATTGTCTGCCGTCTTTCACACAATAAGCTCAGTGACTAATTGCAGGGCGAAATGAGATACCGTAATGTAATGTACTTTTAAGTCTTGGGTCCATTTGTATATAAAGTGCTTGGAAAAAAATCTTTTTGGAGGTCCAATTCTAGAGAAATATATCAACTCCATGGAACTGAGGATGCATGTTTGTTGACAATATCGTTCACGTTTACATGTACAGTACATATGATGGCTACYAACAATCGTTACAACTGTGAAACACTTTGCAAAACATTGCACAGTCGATTGAAGCTAGAAAGATAGAGAAATTTGAACTAATTTGCACATTTTGTTAGCAGGTTATTCCACCTGGATCAGCACAAATGCACGAGTTCTACTAGATATTGATATCAAAAACGTTACAAGTATTATTGAAGCAACAAGTTACTCTGACAGCAATAAGCCTACAAATTGACTTAAATCAAAAATGGTTATGGCTTTCAAATCGCTCTTTGAGGGATAGCAACTTCAACTGGTTTACAACTAAGATAAACATTGTATTTCAAATTGATGTACATGTATTGAAAGGGTTCTTTTTCCTTCTTAAAACTTACCTTCTACTTGGAGAATGAAGTAAAGACCCAAGAAAATGACTAAARCAGGCGCCAAAAATTTCATAGCATTGAAATAAACAAATACAAACGAATATTCTTTTTGTTCCTTCGAAGTTCAGCTCAACGAAGACGACGGAGCTACTTTTGTTTTGTCACTCCTTTGGAATGTATTTGGATTTAAAATCTTAAACAAAGTCAAAAAACAATGAGCATTTGAACGGGTGCAAAAAGAAACAAAAGCAAAGTGGAAATAAATTAATCATAAAATCTATCTGGTTACTAATAAAAAACGTTCAAGAATAGAACATTTGAACAAGTAGAAAAACAATACTTTTTTGACTTTTTGTTCTAATGAAATATCTTCCATGTGGTAGCGAGTCCTGTACAGTAAAGTCTTAACACGATCACTGTTTATGTAACTCGGAAAAAATAACAATCGAGCTGTTCTCTATTCACTCTTTTAATATTGCGTTCTGCGTAATATATTTCGAAAAAAACCCTACACATCTTTGATTTGTCGGCGATAAATTTTTATTGAATGGAAATTGATGGTCCCACCTTTACAATTTAGAATAATAACTCCTGGTTAATAAAATCGGTTTTTCGACACATTTTGAATTCTTTACCTGTTTATTTCGTGTAAGCATCTATTCAAGCGTTAATACTCGACTATATGCCCGCTATAACAACGAGAAACGGCCGCTGAGAAACCAAATCGGATGAAATCAATACGTATTCCAAACATGTAAGGCTCAGAAATCTAGGGGACTAAAAAGCGAAGATAAGACTAGTTAGACGTGAAAAGTTATCGCAAAATCGAAAAAAAAAAAACATTGGAAAAATAAATCCATTTTTCACCTTAAACAAATTTTCTGTCAGTTAGAGGGTTAGTGTACGGATTAAGTACGTTTTCCAGGCCATACGAAATGTTAATTTTTGTTGAAAATGTTCGGTTGATTTTCTTGTTAGAAAATTGCAAAAAAAGGCAGCTTGACAATTAGAAATTGAATCAGAAACCTTTGTTTTTATTATTTGGAATATGTTCTACATTTTATGTACAATTTCGTTCATTTGGAAACTTATGCCAACCACGTTGTATTTCATTGTATTAATAGCCGACTTGCGAATTACGCATCAATAGTCACATACAAAGGAATCAAGACGAGGMGCCGTGCTKTTTTGTGAAAAATCTATTGTCTTTAGCACGGCGCCTCGTCTTGATTCCTTTGTATGTGACTATTGATGCGTAATTCGCAAGTCGGCTATTGCACATGGTTCAGTTGTCAGGGAAGAGTCCTGGAAACCAGTAAAGTCTACCTGGAGCTTGGTCATCGATCCATGCTAGCTCTTCATGTACCATGTGATTCTTCAAGAAAATATGAAATGAAATGAATGAAAAAAGGAAAACGTACAGCCAGCTCTCGCTATAACGGACACTTTCGCGGGACCGTGATTAGGCCTACGCAATAGCGAATGTCCGGGGTAAAGGGGTTCGTTTTCAGTAATTCTTTGTAGCGGAATTTATTTCATTGTCCGTAAAAAACGTGTGCCCGTAWTGCGGGGTGTTCGTAAGGCGAGAGCTAACTGTAATAATCCTATTTTCAGTAATTTTTTCTAAGTGGAATCTATTCAATGATCCTTAAAAACTTGGTGTCAATAGTAAGGGGTTGTCCAAGAGCCGAGGTCTGACTGTACCGAGCGTCTGCTGTCAACTGAATTATTTCCAGTGATTTTTTTTGAAGCGCTTTTTATAATTTTAATTGTCCAAATGGCACAGAGTATAAGTTCCGGGAATCTGAAATATCATTGATGGATCAATCTTACCAGTATACGCACTGCTCTTTCGTCATCCCAGGTAAGTTCTTTTTTAATGGACTCCACTGAAGTATATCCAGATCCCTAGTTAAACAATAATATCTAAACACTGTTTTTTCATGTCAAAAACCGAATGTGTCCATGACATATATAAAATCATAAGGAATGTGCTTAAGGCCTAAAAAGCTGTCAGTAATATAGAGGTGTTGAGCTCTGTAAGAGTTTCAACTGTGCATGATTATGGATTCATATAAAACAAAGAACCTAATTATTTWCAAAATATACAATATGCTGTCACAGAATTAAAACGATTGTAATCAGCCATACAATGTATATAAAGGAGCTTGTTATCCCTAAAAGTGAGCAGACTGTGTAGCAGTACCATTTTTTCACGCAAAGCATGATGGGTGGGGCGAGGGGAAGATCTTTTTATTTTTGTACCGTGTTCCTTTTTACTGAGTACATTTGTTTTTTTCCTCTATGACAATAAGTTTGCAATTAGGTGAATGTCTCTAAGAAGATGAATAAATCATTCACGTTATGAACACTTGAATTAATGTCCACCATAGTTTGACTAATACCAGTCGTTTTCAGTAGGAATAACAAGAAAACACTGTAAAAGAATGTGACGAGTCTAGAAGTATGAGTGTGACTAGTGTTTTGCAACAAGAACTACCTGTGCAAGCTGAAGAACAGCAGTATCATCCATAGATAGTTCACCTGGCACAGACTGCACAAGCCTTTTGCTACCCACTGGAATCACTTGAAAACCACTCCCGAGTACATGAAGTTTTTTAATGGCTCTCTCAAGATCATCTCTGAAGTAAATATGGGAGTTCAACATTAAGTTATAACATAGAGAAAGCATTCCAATTGTCATAGTTTAAATATTATGTACAATATCCATATTCAAGGCAGAATAAACAGCAGATATTTTCAATACAATATTACTAACCTACAATACAATGGTTCTCATCCATTAAATTATGTGTGCAAATGTGCAATAATTTGTCCATGACTTAAAATCACAAAGTTTCCAGACATGGGCTTCCTGTGCCATTTTACTTACAGAGTAACATCTTGCCTAACTTTACTTGATTTAGAGATTTTGGAATGCAAATCATCTAAGACAATTAGACCTGCAAATCATCAACCATACAAGCTTTTAATGCTAAAATATACTCCAAATAAAGAGTACAACCACATCAAAAAAATGGCAGTACAAGTAGAAAAAATGTATAGCTGGGAGACTGGCAGTCAGTATTTTCAAGCAGAACTAGGTTTTAGAGCACCAAATACAACACTTCTCTCACCTCCATTTCTTGGCCTTGTAGCAATGCAAACCTCTACTATCTGAACCCCAAGCTTGTTAAAGAAAGAGAGGTATGTATCAATGACAAAGCTACTGGGTAGGTATTTTACTGAATGAGTCTAWTCTAATACCATACCTCATAATAAAAATCACCAACYCCAAGAAGTTCTGCCCAGAATCCCTTGCTTGCTGTAAAACCCAAAAACATTTCGATTTAGCCCTAGTCTTTATACTTGGTACATCATAACAGTAAGGACGACAATAGGGTAGAGTGGATTTCATTTGACTGTACCAAAACCATGACACACCTTTGTGTCTTGTGACATGCCGACCGTGYCACYGCAGTGACGTATTCTTGAATCAGTCTACTTTCATTTGGTGGTGGTAGGGTGAYGATGTGYGRCTTAAAAATGTTATTCTAGTTTGYTGGTGCTAGAATGTTTSCTAATTTGTATATCATTCATATCAGAAATTTGAAATAATGGATAAAAGACCAGAAACTGACTCTCTATGCATTTTCTGTAAAACTGAAACACAGCCACCCACACACCCACTTTTATGGCAATACATTATGCTATATCATAAAATGAGTACATTACATGCTAGTGGGTCAACTCCAATTCTTGCACACATCTTCTGGAAATGTCCTCTAAATTCAGGGTTCTTTTTGATATCTGTTTTATGCTTTGCTGCAAAGTCTTCAAGGTAATTCTTAAAGGATTCCAATTGCTTTCCCATCTGAAAAGATAAGAAACACAAGTCCTATAACGTACTGCCACTCTCCTTATAAACAATATTAAAAAAAGGTCATTGAGTGGTGAATACTGAGACCCAGCTGTTAGGTGTACATTCCAATAAGCAAGCATCCCTGGGGACCCAGGYGTAAACTTCTGAATGAAGGGCAGAAGAATATGCCTGTTTTTTKGAGAATAACAAAAGTGAGCCTTGAAATGGCAACATGGACCACAAACTTGTGACTAACAAGAAATTAMGAACAGCAACAAAATAAAGACCAAAAATTGTGACACACAATGTAGGCAGTTTGAAATGAAGACAGGGGATATGTACATATACTCCTTAACAGGACCTCAATACTGTGATATGGCATTGTGCATGTTTACCAAAACAGAATTGCATTGCTACTATTGCATGCCATGTCAGTGGCATTACACAATTGTAAACAAATTTCCTTTCTATCAATTTTGAAGACCCAGGAAGTCACTGTGAAACAGTGAAAACTGACCCTTTTAGAGTAGCCTGCGCAGCAGCTTTTGGAGAGCCGCTAAGCAGACTATGGTCACCAAAAATGCAAGTCAGTATTAGAATACAGCTCAACCTTTTTCTGAATATATGCATTGAAACAAGTATCAACTGTTCTTTGTTACTATACACCCTTCATGCAAACTGTCCATGGTTTTCAAGTAATACCCACCTGTGAGAGCTGATTGTCAGCTATTTCAGTTCCTTTTTCTGCATACTTTGCCTTGAAAGACATAAGCAAATTATGCTTAATTAAGATGCTTAAGATGCTTAATTTTTCCTATGTATCAAGACTGAGATAGGCAATAACTTGACCATAAAGTTACATTTTCGGGAATACTTTTTCGATAGACTGACAAATCTTTTAGACWAAAAACAGCAATATTTTACGAAGGAAAATAATGAAATACCTTGGCGAGACGCTGCTTATTTATAGCACCAACTCCTCCAGGACCCCGTCTCATTATGGAATATTTAAGATAATATAAAATTAGGATAAAAGGAAGGGTACAAATTGTCTATCTCGCCATTTTCAGAGTGTTGTTGTTCGCAGGCTCATATGTCCCAGAATTCATTTGGGTGCGGACGCACATGCGTACTGGGTTGATAGTTCAAGATGGCGGACGCCGCGGTTTTGAATGTTAAGAAAYTGAAGGTAAAACWTGAGTATTTTTGCCTTTAAATAATATGAATCAAACTTTTATGATATCTGTGTTGTTTAAATACTCTTACACTACATTTTTGTCGGATTTGAACTAAACAAAACGTGCAGTTTTACTGTGATTTTCGATTGTTGAATATTTCACATGTTTCATGTGTTCTTTTTGGCCACAWMACTAATAATGCGATATTTTATATATTCCTTCATCAGGTGGCTGAATTAAAGAAGGAATTGGCTCTGCACAGCTTAGATACCAAAGGAAACAAGAGCGAACTTCAAGCTCGGCTCAAAGACTTCCTTCAGCAACAAGGTTAGTTGTCATGGCGCYACAATTTTGCTTGAACCATGCCACAATTTTTYTTCCATGCCATGCRTATGAACTTTTTTYATMKTTGACAGTAGAATCCAAATCGATTTTTAAATTTTATAAACAATTATTATACTTCAGGTTTAGATGTAGATCATACCGAAGAAGAAGAAGGAGAAAACGATATTGATGATGAGCTGGACCATGAAGAGGCAGAAGATCTGCTTGCTGATGAGAGTTTAGAACAAAAAACGGACATCATAGCAGCAGACATTGTAAGTTCAACAACAAGTACTAGAGTYACAGTAGTACTAGTGTAGGTCTATATTACGGACAACCTTAAATATTTTCTACTGTACAATCATCATCATCATCATCATGGCGGCCTCAGCTGAGCCTCACGTCTGGAAGACCAATCCTGGCGGTTCAAAATACATGCGGAAAGCTCGGCTGAGGTGTACAATACACTACATGTACATTTAATACACACACATACTCTACATGTACCTATGACCTTTTGACCTTGATATCATGGGCAGTTCTTTGAGGTCTGGTATATACATTCTAAGTAGAAAAAGCTTTTGTTGACTTATCTGTTATACAAACAATCCTTTTGTATCCAGATTTATATATATAGATTCTCATCTAATATTTTCATTGATATAAGGATGTAGAAAAAAAGGATCCAATCACAACAGAAGATGAAAAACAAGATACTGCTCCTGTTAGTGCTGTGTAAGTTCATTCTACTCTTTGTGTTGCTGTTATTATGTGAATTGTCAGCACAGCATGTTAAATGGTGAATTGGCCTTGTTTTTTTTAGTAAGAAAACAATAGCATTAGAAGAATCYGTCAAACCTCAGACTGAAGAAGAGGTATGTATAAAATCTATAGAATTACAGTTCTGAAAATATAACACAGATAGATATGGTAGATATGCAAGGTATTTGTGTTCAAGAAGTGCATGTAGTCAACAGTGGTTGTATTTCTAGAAACGATTGCAAAGGATGAAAAGATTTGGAGGTGCAGCTAATGAAGAAGATAAAAAAGTACTACGAGCTCAAAGGTACAATGAAAATATCAACAACGTGGACAATAACAAAATGAAATACACAGTATCAAGTATGTAAAGTTTTCAGCATTCCTTTTGCAAACCTCATTCTTTACAGCATCGATGGCTATATTGATTGAATGTGCACTAAACTGCAAAAGACTGCCATCAATATATAAACAGATTTTGCCTTCTTACTGTMTAAAAGTATAATTCTTAACAGTTTATAGTACTGAGAATTTTAGTGATTAAAAATAAAGTCCTTTGGGCTYATTCTTGAACCTATTCCTAAGTGTCCTAAGTCACAACGTTTGYCTGGGCTTGTCWCTATGAGCATGTGAAGAAGACAATATTTAAGTAAAGCTAAATTATTTCATTTTGAATTTCTGTAGGTTTGGCACTAGTACTGGTTCTTTCTCTCCATCTCTGGAGGTAACAAATATATAATTGTTGAACCTATAAAAAATAACAAAAAACTCTGTACATTTACAAAAGGATCATGTGGCCAATGATGTTACATCATTCAGTCAACAGATTTATCAAAACTTAAAAAACGTGCTGAAAGATTTGGTGCAGTTTCCCCAGTWGTAACGAAGGTTAGTAAAAATCCCACAATGTTTGTCCTGTCATTTAAAAAAGTGTACAATGYTGCCACCATTCTGCCTYGTTTACAGATTTACAAAACTATTATGTTGTGTTAATTAGGTTGATGAGCAAGAGAAACTWATGAAAAGAAAAGCTCGATTTGGCACATCGTTAACATCATCATCAAATGACTCTTTAGAGGTACACGTAGTTCCTGTGATTATTTATATTAGAGTATCTGCAAAAAATAGCCAGAATTGTTATCAATACTCCATTGCTTTCCATTTTTTACTTAACAGTCAAAGAAGAAAAAGCGYGCAGAACGTTTCCAGCTATAGTGTTGACAGACTCTAGGGTGCTGAAAATGTAAATATTACATAGGAATACATGTATTTGAGAAGGAAACCATCTTTAACTATCAATGCAGTATTTTAAKACTGACATCTTTTGTGAATTTGTACAAGATTCTTTCAAGGAGTATTTGTCGAAGAGAATAGAGAATGCTGAATGTAATTTTATGAACCTATCAAAGGTACAGTAGTCAATATTGTAAACCTTTGACAACCTTSAGACCAGTGCCATCTCAGGATGGGTGTCTTTCCTCTTTTTGTAAAAATCCTAAATAGTTTGATATAAACACTAATGTTCATTCTTGAATTTTAACTTCTCTTTATCAATTCTTTTGTATTTGGTGTTCTACAGTACTTTTTATTAAGTATCTTTTAATATCTTTTTAAAAATGCCTGTTTAGTGCATGGTAGAATACATGTAGTTAGCAAATACACTGRCTGAAAACCTGAGGGGCTTCGAAACAACTTGTAGTTTCTCTTTGTGATGTAATGAACATGGTACAATATACGAATAAGTTAATATACAATCTACACCCCCTTGTTCAACAATGAAAGAATGGTATTGCTAAGTATTGTTTTTATACCTTCTCAATTAGTGCTRCATATCATATCACAGTAAGCTCCTGTTAACTTAGACTGTGGAAATTACAGATTGATCACTGGCAACTCCTTGTTCTGAAATTAACTGTTCCAGTTCTAATGTGTGGTGCCCTCAATGTATCTTTTGTTATTCTCTTATCAGAGAAACAGAGTGTTTATTCTAAATMTGYAGAGTGGTTTTCARTAACCTGCAAAATATACGTTAGGGTACTACGCTTTATTATTTGTTAAGTGTCTTTTTCACACATCGTTATGCTTTGGCTATTAGACTTTGTTTTACAAGTTATGAAACCRCTCTAAAATGACTAGCAGTACTTGAATACAGTAAGCATTACTTTACCGAGGCAATAGAAAACAAAGGAGTTAGTACTATCATGGCCGATGGAAAATGACGCTAAGAAATAATGTGTAATTAAACATTGTTTTTACAACAGTTAATAAAAGTTTTGCTTTGTTATGGTTTATGCAGTCCTGTTCCGACGGAATTACTGTACCACCTTTGTCGTGGTGGAGATGTTTGAGTGTCGCGTTGACCCTTAGAGCTATGTTGACCGAAGTCTTGAACTCCTGGTAGGGCCTCCCATGTCAAACAGGTCGAACGTTAGGGTCCTGAAAAAGAGTAATTCCCTGGTCCTCCAGGCTCCAGGTCGATGGTGGGGCATAGGGCTAACACTCTATCCCGTAAATAATATCTTACGGAAACAGCAACAATTTTACCAAATATTTCTGGCTACGACGGGCTTCCAGAGCCACAGTTGGCTCTTATTATTAATGGTTGCGAAAACCAACAGGAAGATGGAAATTCTGAGTTCCAAATTGAAAACCAGTAAAACACAGTATTTCTACTATACCATATACATGTACAATACTTTTTCGAATTTGTCGGATTCGTCGCCATATAACTTTCAGTGCCAAGTATTGGGCCTGATAAGTGCTTTTATGATAGTTGAGCTCATGAAGCAATTTTCTGACAAAGTGTTCATCCAATAATTATAAAAGCATTTTTATCTCGGTTATAACTGGAACTACAACAAATACATAACTTTGGAAAGAATGCGTCAAAAATACTTCTTTCATTCAGAACATGGAAGCCAATTGCGCAGAAGAGGTCACCACGTGCAGAGTACTCTACAAAAAAGTGACTTGTTCGGAACGTGAGAAATACGATTTCAACCGAGGATAAAAAATAAAGAAAAAAAATTAAGACACTTATTTCAAGTTAAAGTAGACTACGATCAGCACGCAATTTTATATTTTATTCTGCGTTGTTATATTAACTATATTTTCTATCACTACTTTACAAAACTTTACAGCAATATTAAAATAAATTTATTAAATAGAGTGCGAAAGACTAGAAGGCAGTGTTTCTTCATCTACACTCTACAACGCACCCAATCTTATACTCTTTGTAAAAGATCTCTAGGTTTATAACATACAACGAAAATTCAAGCTGAATAGTTTTCTTCATGTGCATCACATAATTTTGTTGTAATCCTCTTCGACTACAACTTGGAGGTCTAAAAAAAACTTTGTAAGTCTCTTATGAGATATCAGAACATAGAATTGCTATCACTCAGCTTCCCTATTTATAATACAAATTTCAGTTGTCATCTTGAGTTCAAATCAAAAACTAAGTATGACATACWTTTTCACGYAACGAGGTTGTGCTAAAAGTTGTGTACGYCATTTCTTGATATAAACCTTAATTAGAACGGAATTTGTATTACTATTAAAGCCAAACGTACTATTTTCCTTTCACTGGCATTGGATTGTTTTATGGTCCCCTGAAACGATATATCTCTTTATTCTGTTGTTCCCAAATAATAAATCCTTTTTGTTTCGCGAGTATATGAAAGACACCCCAGATATTCGCAGTCCAGCAAAGATCGATGCCAGTGATGAAGAAACGTCATAAAGCATTAAAATTGCAGTTACTTGCACTCCAGGTTCCACCAGTTCCAGTAGATGCAATCTTAACTGGGTTACAATACCAACTCTACAAACAACTTATTTTTCTTGTTTCTTCATTTCTTATCAGCTTTTATGAGAACCAATCATGATTAGGATCTTTCAYCAAATTTTGGCTTCTCGCTCGGTAACACATTCTTGATGAGTTGCTTGTTATTTTTAAATGACCAAATGTTTCTTTATACGAAATACAGGAATAAGTTGTCTTGTAGTACTGAAATGATCCGCAGTGCGTCTGGAACCTTCGTTGATGCGACAAGCTAAGATTTACTTCCCAAATTCGTGTGTTACTTGCCGATGTTTGGATGAACAGGACAGTTGATGGTTTCCGTACATAGACACAAAGGGACAAAATGCTGAAAGAAGAACAAAAATAGCATTGTTTTCATAATAGAAAGGCAAGGAAAATGAGGAGAAGAATTGAGGGGGAAGCACTAGGRGAAAAACATTTCATGAACGATGAAATATYCGAACMAGTAACGAAMCAAGAAAACGGGGAAWWGGGAARAGGACAGGGAAGRAAAAAAAGGAACGTAGGAGAAGCAGAAATACTTCCTTAGAGCAGTATTCCATACTCAGATTCACYAACCACGKACAAAAAMCAATTTTGCCGAGGCGACCAAGGTACAGTATACCKTTAAAACAAAAGATCTGAGCAAAGCTGRCCCTGACCGTACTGTTCGATGTTTGTACTGGTCACTGAACCTGAGAATAGAAAGTGGTGAATAAACAGAAGGTTACACTACTATACCTGGGAATCTCCGTCACGAAAGAGCATGKTCAGTGGATTGACGAGACTYCTACTAGACGTCTTTTGAATTCTTTTGCCCAGACAAGAATAAAGTGTAATTTCTGCATCCAATAGAGCTTGATCTGTCAACGATGTAGCTGGAAGTGAAATATCTTTCACAGCAGCTACTGATTCTCGTGGTTTAAGCTCAGTGACTCCCAAGTTTGGGCTGATGCAATT